TCTGTTCCGATTAAATATCAGTAAATAGTAAATCAAAAGTTGAGATAGGGACATGTGAGCCGTTTTGTCCGATAATGAATAGTTTCGACACAAACAAATCCTAAAGTTGAAAAATCTCGATTTTAAACACCCTATATATCTGTAATAACTTCCTATAGACCCCAAGTTTGATGGTATCGATGAAATCAGCTCTTCGGGGAGAATCTGAAAATGCAATTAAATACAGGGTATTCTATTTGAAATAACAAAGTTGTTGCCACTTTTTGATAGAAGCGGCAACACCGCATTGCTGAAATTATTTTAAATAAGGAGAGCGTATTGTAAATTATAAGCATGCATATTATCATGTATATTTCCCGACTGATTCTCGATATAGAGATAGGGGAGACGGGAGAACCGCCTAACTAGGCATATAGTTCCCAAGTAGGCATAGTCGCCATATTTGCCATTCCATCGGATATTTTGAAGAGCTGTGTTCCACGTCGACAAAACGAATGTTTTAGTTGTCCTCTAGGTAAATATTGAAGGGTGTATGTGGCCTCTTTAAATTTTTACGAGAATAATCTATATTTGTTGAGTACTGATATAAGAAATTGTTGCATTATTGTAGTGATATATCAAGTCCTGCTTGTTTTTTTTTTCATTCATATTTGTCCATAAAGGTTCAATAACCATTACCTTGCATCCCATATGATGCATTGAATATTGCATAGCTAACATTGACATTTGATGGCATAGTATGCCATCATACGACTAGGCGATAGCATACTATGCCATCATAGGACTAGACGGTCCTGTGTTGTTCAACTATCAGTTTTCTCAGAAAGTAATGACGGCATAAAAAATTGAGTATGCCATCATAGGAAATGAAGTATGCCATCAAATTATATCATCATGTAGATTGTAGATTGTAGATGGGCCGTATAGGCTGGGAGACCTCTCGATCACTGCGGCCTAGAAGATCTATTGTGATTACCCTTATCTAGTTTTGGTCCTCTAACCCTGACTTCTGATGAAGCCTACAATTTTCCTGACGGTTGAATTTTCCACCTCAACAGGGGTGAGATAGACCTGTTCTAGGTGGTTCAGCCTTTGGCAGACTAATACTTCACATGAAAGTATGTGTTCCGCGGTTTCGGTCGCATTGTTGCAAAAGCGGCAAGTGTCAGTCTCCGCCAGGCCCATCTTTTTGAGGTGGTACCTCAGAGGGCCGTGTCCTGTGAGAAAGCCCGTGATAAGCTTTAGCTCTGGTTTGCTGAGGTTGAGTAGCTCTTCGGCTCGGTTCTGCGAATGGTTGATGAACTTTTTCGCTTGTCGTTGACCTGGAGTTGCTCTCCAGTAGGAGGACTTTTCAATTTCTTCTCATTTCCTGAGTTCAGAGTACAGATGCTGCACCTTTTTTTGCAAGGCGATCAGCTGCCTCATTTCCTTTGATTCCTTCATGCCCTGGAACCCACATAAGTGTGACTTTGTTGTCCTTTCCCAGTTGCATGAGTGTTTCAAAGCAGTCCCATGTGATCTTTGATGTGAAAAGGAATGATTTTAGGGCTTTTAGTGCGGCTTGATGTCTGAGCAGATATATGTTGGCACCCCTCAGACCTTTGCTCAGGCACCTTTGGGCGCAAAGGTTGATGGCATGTATTTCAGCTTGGAAGATAGTGGGGGAGTGACCTGAGGCTTCGAATAGCCTACATCCGGGTCCATATACACCCGCACCTACCCCTTCTTCCATATCCTATATCATCATATCCTATGATGGCTAACAATATGTTTTCGTTTTTCAGAGAAAATCTTTTGAAAACTCACTCCTTTGCAATGTTGTTCAATTATATAGGACCTAATGGAAAACGAGAGACTGATGAAAAAAATCCACTCGAATATCAATTTGTTACTTTGATATCGAGATGTCGAAGAATTACGCACTAAATGGACACACTGTAGAGATAATGTAAGCTCGTCATGACATACCCTGTATACTTGTTGGTAGATTTGTTGATGGGTGCTTTCGTATTCTGTATACCTAGCTAATATCATTATTACATAATAGTTTGATATATCTCCAGCAACAATCTATATCTTCTGTTATTCAATATGACATTGATGTAAAGACAGGATTTCAGTAGTGACTCCTTACTATGATAATATTTCCACACCTGTGGAGTTCATTCAACTACCTAAAGAAATAACTAATAAGTATATCATTTCATTAATCATATTAATGTGTGTCATTGCGAAATCTTGTTTTCGCAGTCATTAAGACATAAGCCCATGGAACCCAATTGAATAATTTTATAATACAGTCTCCAACCAAATGTGTGAAAATAAACAAGGTGTCCAATCTGAAATCGAATCGACTATTTGGTTTTCTGTTTCGAAATAGTAGAGATTTTCAGCAAGTTTCAAAGTTAACAATACTCTTTCACACATACAGTGTGTCTCACACCCCTGTATCTTACGTATTCGTTGGTAAGGATCCTGAAATTTGCTGGAGCGAGAGATATACCAAAAATGCACTCACTGTATGACCAAGTGGGGTCAGTGATATACACTGTTCGAAAACAGCCATGGAACTACCCCAATTTCCGGAAAATTATATTAGGAGTCAAAATAGGAAGCCCAATTCAAATACTATTAATATTTTTCTCGGAAAAGTTTCAGCTCTGGAAATTTCATTTTTGTCCCAGTTTTCATGGAAACACCTCCCTATCTCACGTGATTATTGAATTCGGATTGTTAAATCTCCAAGAGAGAGCCATATTCCAAAGATACACAGGCAATGACCAATTAAAATTACCATCAGTGATATACACTGCTCGCTAGCAGTCATGGAACCACCTATACATATCCGGAAAATCATATTAGCAAACAAGATAGTTTGGAAATCACTTCGGATTCAAGAACAGAAAACAGAACGTCTAATTCATCAACCACTCATATTCCATCTGAAACATTTTCAGTTCTGAAATAATGAACTCTATTTCACCCTACTATCTCACGTAGGTAATTATTGATGTAGGAGTTTGGAAGTTTTTGGAGCAAGAAAACGACCAATGACCAAGTAGGTTCATCTCCAATGATATACTGCTCGCCAACAGTCATAGAACTACCGACATTTCAGGAGGAAAAATTTATTAAATCGGAAAATTCACCTAATATAGTTGTTATGAAATTGATAATAATGGACAAGTCAGTCCTCATCAGAAATAATGGAAAAACAATCTGAACTAGTACAATTATTGAATAGATCGTTACCGATTATAAAGCGTCAAAATATGGGCAGTTAGTGAATTTGACGTTCTGTTTCCGAATCCGAAGTGATTTTCAACCTATCTCGTCGCATTGATATCATTTTCCGGACATATGTGTAGTTCCACGGCTGTTGAGGAGCAGTGTATACCACTGAAGATAACCTCACTTAGTCATAGTACATTTTTGATATATCTCTCGCTGCAGCAAATTTCAGGATACTAACACAACGAATACGTAAGATACGATGATGTTTCCCATGGAAAGTAAGACAAAAATGAAACTTTCTGAACTGAAAATTTTTCCGGAACAATATGAATAGTTAGTGAATTTGGCGCCCTGATTCCGAATCCGAAGTGACTTCTGTTGGCGAGCAGTGTATATCACTGAAGATTACCCCATTTGGTCATGGAAAAGATGTGTTTCCATTAGAAGTGCGACACACTGTATATAAGGTCCAAATCAGAATATTCTTCCATAGTTTGGTCGCCACTATACCTGGTACAATTGATTCAGTAGAATCTGTACAAAGACGTTTTTTGAAGTACCTCTCGTTCAAATATGATGGCGTGTGTAGTGAGGGTTAATAATCTGGGTGTCCGCCGAGAATGTTCTGTTGCTATTTTCACACATAAATTAATGAATAGTATGTTTAATGATTGTGTCCTCCTAGAAAATTTTAGTATATTCATTCCTCGGTTGACTTCTCGTAGGGGAAAGAAATTTCAGTTCCTTTGGGCGAATATGCCTCAGTGTTCCAGGCAGAAGTACTTGCAATACTCACCTGTGTCCAAGAAAACCTAATAATTATGAGGGGTCGTGGACCAATCACTATATGCTCGGACAGCAAAGTTGAAATACTGGCTTTGCAATCCAATAGCACATCCAATTTGGTGTCCGAGTGCAGAAAAGCCTCGGAAAACCTGGCAAAATCAAGAAAAGTCAGCCTCATGTGAGTCCCGGGACATTCGGGAATACCCGGAAACGACCCAGCGAGCACAAGAACATCTCAGAGATGTTAAAAGTACGAGATTTCGAGACATTGAACCTCCACTGCGATGTTCTGTTCACACATAAATAGAACTATTATAGAACAGCCAATGTCCGCCGCAGGCGGAAATTATCGAGATGTCCTTGATATGTCACAAAACTACCTTCTCCCTAGTTCTTTTTGAAGCCTTTTCATGGACACAACAGAACATTTTCAACGCGTCTTGCGCACATTAAATCGCTGGTAAAACAACATTTTCGAGGTACTTTTCTTTTGTCAAAATGAACTTTTGCATTAGGATTCCATTTCCCTTGAATGAAAAAATGCATTGATAATAGATTGAACATAAAAATATTTTCTTGATATGAAATTACCTTCTCAATCGGTTTCTGAGCAGTGCTTACTACACACAGACATATAATTGGAAATAGGTGAAGTGAATAAATACCTATAGATATATTGAAAACATATCGAATATTTACTTATACGTGTACGTTTCGGGAACGAATCTGCTACCGTTCTCAACATAAAAATGCAAAATAGCTAACTTCGAAATTTCTTTTCTTATAGATTGACACCTGAGCGGCTTCGTGCATAAACTTTTTCATTTCGTGCGTAATGGCTTATACTTACAATTCTTGTTACGTAATATACTAGTGTGGAAATCTTATCGTCTGTAAAGTTTTTTCATTTGCCATGGATTTCCATTAAGTAACGGCCGAGCCAACAATTCAAAATACTATCTACCGCTTACCTTTCCCAGGAACTAATCAAAACCCACAAGGGCAACATCATAATGAGCCCCTTCTCTGCTGAAACAGTCCTGGCCCTGACCACAGAGGGCGCCAGGGGCGATACGGCCCTGGAAATGTCCAAGGGGCTCTCCCTGCCTAGCACCAATGAGCGTACGCAGCAGGCTTTCAAGACCTTCCTGCCGCAGCTAACAGCTTCGGAGGAGGAACTCAAGCTGCTGTCCGCCAACAGGATTTACGTTGGAGAGGGGGTGAAGCTGGAAGAGAAGTTCAGGAATATTGCTGAGAACATTTACAAATCAGGTAAGGCGATTTGGTATCAATACCCTTTGGTTAACAGCATAATGTTATCAGAATGATATTAAAAAATCACCTCAAGAATCGTAAACAATCTATCTTACTTAGAGGAAATATATCACAATTAAAAGTAAGTCATTGGAAATGGAGTACCACAAGGCTCTATTTTAGGGCCTGTGATATTCCTCATATATATCTACGAATTTCCAATGGCGATGCATAACTTAAGATGTAGTCTATAAGCGGATGACACCAATATCTCAACAAGTGGAGCCAAGCTTCTTATACAATGTGCAGATATACAGTCGAAGGCTGCCGCATGGTTGGCAACGAAAAAACTAGCTCTGAACCAGACAAAGACAGTAACGATGATATCATCAACAAAAGATCTGACTCACCAATCTAAAAATCTAAATTTCGTGAAGTTCCTAGGAATATACATAGATTATAGATATTATTCAATTTACAGAAAAAATAATAGAATCTTTTGAAAAAAATGAGATTTTGCTGGAAATTTTCTTAGACTTGTCTAAAGTCTATGACTGCTTGAACCACAATTGTTTGCTCTCGAAACTTGGGAAATATGGAATTCGTGGCAATGCATTCAAATGGTTCGAGTCATACTTGCATATTATCAATAGAGATGAAAAATGTATTCAAGAAACGGGGTTACTAGATCTGGTAACATATCTTAGGTTGGGTTACTAGATCTGGTATCATATCTTAGGTTGGGTTACTAGATCTGGTAACATATATCTTAGGTTGGGTTACCAGATCTGGTAACATATCTTAGGTTGGGTTACTAGATCTGGTAACATATCTTAGGTTGGGTTACCAGATCTGGTAACATATCTTAGGTTGGGTTACCAGATCTGGTAACATATCTTAGGTTGGGTTACTAGATCTGGTAACATATCTTAGGTTGGGTTACCAGATCTGGTAACATATCTTAGGTTGGGTTACCAGATCTGGTAACATATCTTAGGTTGGGTTACTAGATCTGGTAACATATCTTAGGTTAGGTTACTAGATCTGGTAACATATCTTAGGTTAGGTTACTAGATCTGGTAACATATCGACTTTTTCGTTTCTTGAATACATTTTCCGTCTCTATTGATAATATGCAATTTCAATCAACACACAAATGAAAAAGAAAAATTATTGATGCAATCGATTAACTGTCAAACACATAAAAACATTTTGTGTAGGTACACCGCCTACTAAGTGAAAAAATTATGAAAAATAGACTGATAGCCCTGTGGATCATCGTACAAGAGGAACAATTTTAGTTTTATTATTCCAAATGGAAAGATCATGTGATAGGTACATGGCGAAAATAAGAGACAGATAGTTTCTGTACGAGTAGCTGAATTCGAAAAAATATGTTCCTATCTTAGATTCCTCAATATCATGAGTTATTTTCAAAGGTTTTCATCTTGACTCAAACAAGCTATTGACAACCTGCGGACATTGATCAGAATATCAAAACAGTTTGAATAATATCGGTTTACTAATGATATTTGAATTTCAAAGCCTACCAAGTGTCGATATATCATCGAATTCATGTCACAGCCAACTTATTCTTTTTGAATAAAAAGCAATTCAACAGCGAATCAAGAAATAAATGCCACTTTGTGATACATGTTTGGATAGAGAATTCCAAGGCGAAAAAGATAGACTGGAGAAATGTACAGGGTGACCTTAAAAAAAAAGTTGGGGTCACTTCCGGTCGAACAGGTGGTTCGAAAAAATTGTCGTTAAGTTCGTAAAGTGCGCTACCATTTATTATATACCCCCTGTAAATTTCAAGATTTTATCTCTTCAAGTAAAAAAACTACAGGCTGCTACATGTCTCCTGTGTCACCCGGTATAGTATTCATGCATCAATTTCCTTATCTCAAGTTTCAAATTTTTCAGTTGACCCGTTGAAGAGATGAAAGAGGAGGGAGGCACTAAAGAACAGCACTGTATTAGGTTTTTTTCATTATAGGAGTCGAAAACGTGAACTTTGCGGAGAACGTCGCAGCAGCATCGACCATCAACAGGTGGGTGGAGGATCAGACCAACAACAGGATCAGCGATCTGATCAAATCCGACTCGATCGACTCCGACACCAAGATGGTGCTGGTGAACGCCCTGTATTTCAGCGGCGAGTGGGTGAACCAGTTCGAGGATTACGCCACCACGAAGAAGGACTTCTACAGGTCCAAGGATGATTCCGTTAAAGTCGACATGATGGCTCAGACCGAGTACTTCAGGTACTACGAGAATCCGACTTTGAACGCCAAATTCTTGGAGCTGCCTTACAAAGGTTTGTACGAAGTTGTCAGTCGATACAGGCATCAGAGATGTATAGAAATTTAACTGGTGGGCTCACTATTCAATTGTTTCGTCAGACTAACTCTCGATATGGAACAATTGCAAGCGAGTTTTGGACGTGGGGTTCAGGTATTTGCGATAGAGGCGCCATGATCGGAAAATCGTTCAAAAGCTTGGTTCTGTGAAGGATGAATCTATTATTTCCATCATTGTTCTGTGGTCGAATGAATACTGTGCTCAACATTTTCATTCAAATTTCAATTTGAAATAGAAGCAAGAAATCTTTTTCGTAGCCGATTTTAATAAGCTTCACTTCTTTCATGACATGAACCTATTTGAAGCATGAAATCTGATGAATTTCCTCTTTGAAGAACCAGAACAAAGAATGAATCATAATAGGCAGATATGGTAACTGGTACTCTCCTTAGAATTTATTCACACCAGTTCACGCTAATATTTCAAATCACTGAAATAATACTGTTGTAGAACAGAGATTTTCTTTTTCCTATGATCTATTTATTAGGTATGATACACAAAATTTAGAAACTACGAAACACGTTCCTAACGAACACTTGACCCCTATCTCAGAAATAACCATTTTTTCAGCTCAAGAATATTTTTGACATTTTGACGTTTCGATCCTTTGATCAGGAATCAGTTTACTGCTCTGATCCAAATCATATACGTATCCAAATATTTATCGGTCGGTAATATGTTTCCTGTAAATATGGATTGTAACTAGGATGAGCTTAGAGATTTACTCACGTCAAGTATGTTTATCAAAGGTTTATCAGAGTAGGCGCCATCGAGAAACTTGCAAACGACCTCCAATAGGAAGCAGAAGCAAGCGCACCAATTAAATTTCTATACATCTCTCAGGCATCAATACATATCTAGAGTGTGTCCACGTTGAGGACTTACCACTCCTGAAGAATCTTTATTATCTGATCGTTTAAGAAAAACTTCATATTGTTGGACAAGTATTTAAAATGTCCTTCCAACAAGAGAGTGATTTTATTCTTGGACTGTTGTCGTGGCTAGAGTTCCTGAATGTACTTGACACTGCTGTTCTGACGTTTTTTGTATATTAGAGTACGGACACTATGACAAGCACCGATAATCAGACATAACCACAAATAAATTGATGGAAAAAGCGGGAACTGGCAGTACACGGACGTACACGACATAAATTTCAAAGGTTTGACAAACTGAGATAATTGGTAGGAAGATGCAAGTTTGTGCAGTTTACAACTGTGAGAACACGGGAAATCAATTCAGTCTATTCGAATTTCCATCGGATAACGCGATTTTCCAAAAATGGAAACAGAATATGATGCGGCCGGCATGGAATATAGGTTTAGGCCACAGAATTTGCGAGATATTCAAATTTCTTGGTAGGATATAGAACATTTTTCAACGCATTTTAATTAGGTACACTTCAGAACGGAAGATTTGATGTTGAAAAATAGGATCGTATTGGGAGAAAAAGCCGAACCTATACAATTTATAAACTGAGCGAGCATTGAAAAGAACCTTATTTCAATTTAGAACCAACAAGAAACGAAAAACTTGCTTGCAGATAATGGAATTAATTTCGGACATGTCTTGAGAAGAAAATACTTTAGAATTGAATTTTTAGAGCAGGAATATTCAAAAATCCAAGGCTCACGGGAAAATAAGTTGAAGCAAAAAGATTTAGATACAAAAGCCAGAGTTAGCAAAATTCAGAAATATTACCTGAAAATTATTTCAGATTTGAAACAAAATCAGCAAATATATTTATATAGAAACTGAATAATATCAGTGAAAATGTTGCTTCATATGAGCATATGATTCATTTCAAAATTTAATCGGGACAGATGGGATGCAAAGAGTTTGGAAAAAGAGTTGGTGTTCAAATTCACGTGTGGTTCATTTATTGAAATAGAGTGAGTGGAACGCTGAAGTCCATTTATACCTATTTCCGTATGTTTTGGACATCCTTTATTATTCATCCTAACTAAAATCAGCTGTTATTGTTGCCATATCATTTGTTTATTAATTGATTTCATATTACCCACCACTCTTGTACAAGTGAAATCGTTCCATACGAAATAAAAGTATGTTTCATTGGTTGAAATTTATCAGTTTTTACCCCATTCTGAACTTTTGTGATGGAAAAATATTCAACTGCACGTATATATATATACCTACATATAAAAGACTTATTTTATAGGAATATGTATTTCGTTGGCATATATGTACATACCAAGTTGATATCGACCTCCATTGAGGTCTTTCAGCCTTATCATTCAATATTTCGAGAAGAAATAATTGTCTTATCAAATTATTGTACCCTTGTATTCACTCGAGGAGACGCTATATGCACTCTCATACAAAAATCAAAGAGAGAGAAAGATAAATGGATGTACTCTTCGCAGGACTTGTGGAGGAAGGAAGATGCGAGATCCTTTCTCTGAGCGAAAAACATATTCTTGTCCTTGTCTGGCACCACGTATGATTTGCTTCAAAATCTTTTGTGGTTATGTTTGATTGTCACTGCTTGTCTAGTGTCCGCTCTCTAGTATATAAAAAACGTCAAAACAGCAGTGTCAAGTACATTTAGGAACTCTAGTGTAACCGAACGTTACTCTGGGAGTTGCAATAGAAGATCGTGTGATCAACATTTTCTCAAGATCTCATTTTTTTATATCGAAAATATCATTCATAGGAAGGAACATCAGTATGGTGATTGCCCTGCCCAACGAAAGAAATGGTTTGGCTGCCTTGGAGCAAAACATCGAGGCCGTTTTGGAACCCCAACCTTTCAAAAGCGAGAGGGTAGAAGTTCAGATGCCAAGATTCACTATCGAGAGCGAAATCAAATTTGTCCCTATTTTGCAAAACGTAAGTGTCACCAATATTATAGTAGGTGAGTCAGGTACAAATTTCGATCGTCATCTGATAATGAAATGACATATACTCCAATGTCATGTAAAATAGTATATCATGTAACAAGTCCTTTTAGTAACGAGTATTTTAAGCACGAGTGTCTAGAAGAGTTTATAAACGCGTTACATACTATGCTTTTTCTACGAACTCCGGAAATTACATTAACATACATGCTATTCCTCATAACCTACAAAATAATTCGAAAGGAATGGAAATTGAGAACATAATACATGCAACTGCATGCAACCAGCGAGACACGTATATAAGTGATATTGGCTGTAGATGTGTCCAGTCCATTGCTTACTAACCTTTGTTTCACGTTTATTGTCATGCTTAGCGCAGAATAAATAAATTGTTCTCAAAGATGGATGCTTCATTTTTACACTTCTTGGAGATGTGCAAGTACCAGAACATTCTCTTCGATTTCACTTTCGTCTACTTTTTGCATTTATTTTTAATTTCACTTTCGTCTACTTTTTGCATTTATTTTTAAAGAAGAATTCTGATACAAACGAATATTGTTTGAATAATTCTGATACAGAATTTGAAAATAACAGTTGACAGTTAATGCAATTGACCGGCTAGACATGTCTCAAATTACTGAAGCTGTGTTTAATGAACTGTGTGTTGCCATGGTAATGTGTTTAAGAAATCGTGTTGCCATGGTAACGTGTTTAATATTTTGAATAAATCACAGATCGACAATCCGTGATTAATCGATCATTTAGCGTGGTACATATCCGTACGCTAAATGCCATTTTAGTTATGTGAGTGGAAAAAAACAATTTAATCTACAACTATGGAGTCGTTCATACATTGCTATCTCGATTTTCAACATTTAATGACAGACATTATTGTGATGCACCAAGTATAATGAGAGTAATAATGACAGTAGGATGGCGTAATAATCTGACATCCCATCGTCTTGTCTGTTTGTGAAATACACGTAAATTCAAAAGACTGACCTTACATGGTTCTCATAGTTTTAATCACCTCAATTCTACAAAATCACGGAAAAAGGAGAATTCACAGTGAGTACTTTTTTCCCAGATATATATCACTGTTGATGGCTTTTGTTGGGCTATAGTTCCGAAAAATGAGTCAATAATACAGTCTCCGTGAAAGAACTGCAAGTCCTTTTATTTTCCATTCGACTTCGCGGTTACCTATATTACTAAACAACCACTAAATTCGCAATTTTTGTAATCAAATCACAGAATTAGACTGACAGAAGTGTCATCAGATTTGATTACTTCAAAAGAATGATGAAGATGCCTACAACGCAGGTGTCCCTACTGTTAAAAACTTGAAATTTCACGTCGATTATTTTCATATTTCAAAATAATTCAAAATAATGTAATATCTTCTCAATATTGATTCATCATTTTTTCTGTCAGAGAAAAAAAAGTGTATTATTATACGTGGGAAAAATATTAGATTTCAGCTCACGGTTTTTTGTCTCCCTCCGCTACGCGTCGGGAGACAACACAACCTACAAACATTAATAACAATAATTCTAGTTCATTTTGAATATTGTTTTAAATGAAAGTATCACATCACTTTCTACAATAATCATTCTCTTGTAAGTAATCCAATCTGATTTGTGTTCGATAACCCACACAGTATATTCTCGCAAGTATTTTTATTTTCATGAAATAAAGCATACTGATCACTTGCATAACTGCTAATTTCTTCATAATTGAAAAGTCTCATTAGGTCCTATTCGATGATAGTGCATGTCTGATGGAATTCAGGTTATTGTAAATAAACAATTTCAGTTTGAAACCACTTTTTCTTCATAGCTTCAGTTAGTTATAATCTCATAATCTCATTGCGATTGCATGGTAAAAGCAGTGCCAATATGGGTGATTATACCAATAAACCTCGAGAATTAGTCCAATTGGATTTTTCAATGCATTTTCTATTGATGTTACTACGAGGAGTACTCAAAAAGAGATCGACCACTCCTCGTTTTTGAAAGCGAGTTTGGAATTATTTTGAAACTGATGAAATACTCGACTAATTTTTCGAATCGTTCTTCCTTTAATTCTGTTCCATCCAGAGCTTTTAGGCCAGCGCAGATATCTGTGGGTTATCTAACATACATAACATTTCAAATAATTGTGGAATTCATGGAAGCAAAAGCTCTCCAAAATGGTGAAATTATATCACCCTTGTTTCAAACAATCTACTAGAAACCATGTGCTAAAGAGATTCCTTATACTTCCTCGATGAGTGGAAAGATAACTGAGATAGAAGAGGTGTCCCAAAATGCAACATTTTTAATTTCGCCCTGTATCTCAAGAAACGGAGCGAGTTATGCGAATTTCATTTGCGGTATCGTGAGTTTCACAAAAAAGTAGCCAACGTTCGTGGAAACCGCAAATCTGTGAAAATAAGTGAGATATCCCGTCAGAACATGAAAAATATGACAGCCTGTACAACAAACCTACAAATTCATTTATCTACGGCCACTATAGAAAGTAGGCAAGAACACATGAGATACAGCCTCAGAAAGTAGCTCTTTACGCACAGTGAGCACATCGCACAGTTTTCGTTTATTCCGCCAGTATACAGTGTGTCCCAAATTCGATCCCTCACCATTGGTATCTCAGTAACTATATGATAGATAGAGAAACGCTTAAATTAGCAAAGTTGTAGCAAATTCAATGTTGAATCAGAATCTATTTGTCTACGATGAAACCTCATACAGGTACGCACAAAAAAGTTATGACTTTTCATAAGACTCAAAAGAAATGTAGGGGGCGCCTCCCCTACGAAAGAGACCAACTAACATAAAATTTTATATTGTCATTGAAAAATACTTCAAGGTACCAAATTTCATTGCAATATCACAATTATCTTGAAATTTATTAACGAAAAACAAAAATACGAATTTAATTTTGACACTCTGTATCTCAGAAACGGATAACTTTCGGATGTTTATACGCACTTTTCTTCTTATTTTTACGTCAGCAACATGATCCTGAATTTTCTACACGTACTTAAGAAGCACCCTGTATAACTAAGATATCTGGTGGCCTTGACGCTCTGGGACACCCGCTATACGGGGTGAACTGTTCATGAGGTGTGACCTCTTATGAATTTCATTTTTCTTTTTTCAGTTGGGAGTCAATAAACTCTTTGGTAGAGAAGCCGATTTATCTGGCTTGTCATCTACTGACAAGAATTTGTATGTTTCTGATGTCATCCAAAAGGCCTTCATCAACGTCACTGAAACCGGTACTGAAGCTGCAGCTGCCACAGCAGGTTAGTTTGCATGTTTTTTCTACTTCTTTCACAGCAAAATGTGCAAAATTAATCTGCGATTGGGATTTTACAATCAAGCTCAGAATACAGAAAAACTAACAGATTATTTTTTCTCATGAATATTTTTTCATCGCTTGGACTGCACGAACGGAAATCCCTTCAATGTTCGAAGAACCTCGTGCGTACCTGGGCAGGATAGGAAGAGGAGATTATGACGTCTAGTTAGTTAATTGAGCTCATAAAATGTTAACTATAAATTTTCTGGCACATATTTGTGAAATTAAATTCGACTCTGTCAATGGACATTATTATTTAACTGATTTCATCAAGTGAGTCTAGTGATTTTTTAACACATATGTGGGGGTGCCTCAAGGTACTGCTCCGGGACCTCTACGAGTTTTCATCTATGTGAATGATAGCTGATCGAACTGAATAAAATAGAATGATTGAACCTTGAACTTAAACGAACGATATAAAGATTCTAGAATTCAACCCATTTTCAATTGACGGAGAGTTAATTTTAGTGATCTCAATTCCGGTTAATTTTGCACATTTATCTAGTGGCTGGCTTCTCGTAAACAAGCTCACTGTCTTCTGCTTTCCTTTCTGTCTTTTTCCTGACTATCTTGTAAATAGAACTAATGCAGATAGAGATAGACATGCAGAACTGCGCAAAATTAATCTACCGGAAAAAATAGATAGGACGAATAAATATACAGGTACCAGATTTCGTGATTCTAGGATCGATGATAGTAAAGATGAGGAAACTGCATTCAAGGAGCTAGCTTCAGGAAGCATTTTCGGACACATATATGTTGATAGGAACATTTTCCTCCTTTTTTTTATCTGCAGAATTTCCTCTCGGAGTATAACAACGTTATTCTGGGACACCCTGTTCAACATTTGTTCAATAATAAATTAGATTATTAGAACTGATGAACTCGAACGAAGTAAATTGATTCACATCGTGTTAATCCAATAAACCTACTTAAACGATACCCTGTATATCTGAATTTAGGTATGTACCGGGTGTACCACTAAGAATGGACGCCGGCTGTATCTCATAAACTATTTGCCGCACAGGTTTCGGAAAAAAATATTCATGATGAAAGTGGCCAAGAAAAATCTCTGGAAATTATTTTCAAGTTTCCAGGACAGCCGCTAGAGGACATAATTGCATTGGCCAACTTAAAAAACGGGTTTTTATGAAAATTTGATATATCAAGACATATCAGAAACACTTTTTACATGTTCTCGAGTAGATTTCCAATCATTTCGATCAAAAATAAATGCGCTAGCTCTTTACATAAAATAGGGAGGGAAGGACGAATAGTACTCTGGAGAAACTCTTATTACTACAGTTTGGTGTAACGGAATTAGGCGATCTTGGTCTCATTATGAAGGATTTCTTCAGTTCTTCCCGATAAATCACGAATCAAGTCAAGAGTTGATACCTCTTGAAGAACCGGAGAAATACTCGGAATAATATTAAAATTTAAACTTTTAGCATGTCAAATGCCTCCTCATTCGTTATCGACATTTTGACAAATAAGCAATCCACAGTGAAAACTTCAATTTCATTTTGACGCTTCTTTCATTCAAAGCCAACTCGCCTTCTCTCATTCCTGAGCCTATACTCACTACTTACATTTCAATTAACTATGTCATTACTAAGAGTCTCCTTCACTATTGTGAGATATAACAGCAGTTTGTGAAACCAAATTAAAAGAATTATTGAAATCGTAATTTCATAGATACAGGATATTTCTGTTGACGATTATTGAAGTTAGATTCCTGTGGTGAAAATTTTCATAATATTATTTCGAGTATTTCACCGGTTCATTAAGAGGCATCAATTCGCGGTTTTCACCATTTTTCTTCGTGATTGCTCTACTCTCATTTTTGACTAGAATGAATATATGGTTTCATTTGAAATTTTCGAAAAAAATTGAAAATTGTCTGATTTTTCAAACGATGCCATCTAGCGGCCACCACAGGATTCAAATCGACTTGATTCGTGATTCATCTGGAAGAACCAAAAAAACCCTTCATAATGAGACCAAGATCGTTGAATTCCGGTACACCAAACTGTAGTGGTGGGAGTTTTTCCAAAGTACCATTCATCCTTCCCTACCTCTTCCATTTAAAGAGCTAGCGAAATTTTTTTTGATCGAAATGATTGGAAATCTACTCGAGAACATAAAAAAAGTGTTTTTGATACGTCTTGATATATCAAATTTTCATAAAATCCCGTTTATCAAACTAGCCAATGCAACTACGCCCTCTAGGGGCTGTCCTGGAGACTTGAAAATAATTTCCAGAGATTCCTCTTGGCCACTTTTATCATTCATATTTTTTTTCGAAACCTGTGCGGCAAATAGTTTCCGAGATACAGCCGGCGTCCTTTCTTAGTGGTGCACCCGGTACAACGAATTAATTTTCCAATGATATAGCTTTGATCGGACGTCACGCTCAATACTTTATTGTTAGTATATATATAGTTTCAAAGTGATTACAGAGAGCAAGATTCCGGTACACTCCCCTCACTAAGGCACATGTCGTGTTTCAACTTCCATAATAATGGATCCAGTTTTTCAGGAAACTCAAAAATGGAGACTATCCAAAAGAGTTGATTGAATATTCTTCTTGGAAACAAATATGCTATTCAGGTGTTTCTTATTCATCAAAATGTCATTCAAGTGGTGTACGTGAATCCGTGATCGCCCTGTATACCAACACGAGCTTTTGCTGTAAAGTGGATGTGCCTATGCTTACAATATCGCCAGCTAAGTACATTTTTTATTACGATTCTCTGGCATACTTAATGCCAAGTGGAAAAAAAACTCTGAAAAAAATAACTGATGGTTCTTTTGCAGTTATAAGTGAAGATAGAATTATGAGAAGACGACCACAGAGATACCACGTTGATAAACCATTTTTATATCTCCTGAAACAAAACCAAGTGGTACTTTTCACTGGAAGAGTACTTGATCCTTCTATCTAAGCTTCATTGAAATAATAAAAATAAAATGATTATCTGCTGACAATATTTGGTATGTATTTTTGTTTTATATCATTTTCATCATTCACGCAATCTTACAATTTTGAGTAATTGCTTGAAGAATTAGTGATTGAAACTAAAAAAATCATGTTTCATTATCATTGGAGTACGAATCAACCCGTAGTATTTGGTATTGGTGGAAAAATGCGATTTCAAATATGAAAATTAACATATGTATATTCATGGTTTTTCGAAATTTATTTCGAGGGTTTCAGTTCCTCACATTGATCTGCCTTTCTTGTTTTTCATTGTAAAAAATCGGTTGAATGAAATTTCTAATTTTTGATATTTTTACTAGAAAACCAAAACAATTATACAGGGTGGTCCCTTGTGATGAACCACAAATCCCTTTTCGAAATTTCTGATCATTTGTGACAACAAATAGTTATAAACCATTTGTCCAAGGAGGCACTAACATGATGGGTACCATACATATTTTGAAATTTTTCAGCTGGGTGAATTCTCTTTTTGATTGACAAGAAGTTATGCAATCTTTTAATATTCAAACAATACGCTGTAGTATATATTTTCCCGCATAATGTTCTTTTTTCAGTGAAAAATAACCAGAATGTAGGGGTGGGTCTTATAAATGAATAGAACTGTATTTATGAGCTTCTTACTTCTTAGTAGTTGTGAAATTGAGATGCAGCATGAGCGGAATAAGCGGAATGTGAACGTAAACTACTTTGTGAAATACTACTTTTCTATGATTCTACTAACAGTTTCTAGTGCATTTATAGTGCAATTATTATTGTAAGTATAAACTAATTTTCTCATTATATTTCCTCTGCTATCAAAAAAATATTGGGAGATTAAAAAAATATGTAATTTTTTTTCAGTTATCGCTATTAACAGAGTCGGAGTTGGAAGAAGTCCGATATTTTTCAAAGTGGAGAACCCATTCGTGTTTTTTCTGAAACGTGATGATGTTGTGATTTTTGCAGGAAGACAAGTAGATTTTTCCTACTAAACTACTTCGTATGTTGACAAAATAGCAACCTGTTCCTTTCTGAATGAAATACAATTCGTATTTGAGAAGTTTCTAAATTGGACCGTCTACTCTTGGCACCCGTGATTTCATATTTACTGAGATCATATACAGGGTGTATCCAAATAACACCGAAAAAATTCAAGGGGTGTTTCCTTGTGACATGCTAGCATATGAAATTCATATAAACATGTTTTTTAACTTGCTCTGTTTTTGAGAAACAAGATATTGAAGTTGGAAGTATTAATTTTTTTTATTTATAACCCCCCCGTAAAAGCTTTTATGGTGCCAAAATTCAATATGGATGGAGACTGAGGAAGCGCCAAAATTTCAAAATGATTGTAATTGGGGTTATTGAGTAACTTTTTTCAAGTATCGAAGTCTACCTAGTTTTGTAGGATTACTTTCACTTTGGTTTGTATAACTCTACAGCAGAATTCCTCTTTCACATGAACTTTGAATCATGAGAAAATATGCATTTTTAAAAAAGTTATTGAATAATTTTTCCCCCCGCCGATGTGTAAATACCATCGGACTGTGCTCTCCGGCATACAACACAGAAGCTCATTATTCGAGGTGCGCTTCGTGCCGTTTTTCTCGAAACCGGGCAAATTTTCGAGAAAAATGATGGGGACCATTTTTGTAGAAAATTAACTGAACTTCAATTTTTATCTGAACCGATTTGAACTGAACTGCCATATTTTAGGAGATATTGGCTGAAAACCTATTTTCGAGGTCTTTTGGGGCCATTTTCTCCGCCATCGCACGCGTTTTCCAGTCAAACTTTGTCTCATGTTTAATGAGGTACCAAAAGCTATTTCCAACCGGAAGATGAAAATAGTGCGTAATTTACGTTAACTTTGCCTTTTTTTCTCCTTCATTTATTGGACTAATACTCTTATGCATTCCCCATTCAAAAATGATACCATAAACTTGAATTAGAGTGCAAAA